TTGTGGCTTCTTTCTCTAGGCTTAAGGCTAAATTCAAAAACAGTTTAGGACCTTTGTGATCCAAAGATATCTGCTGTGCTTCAGAGCTGAGGTGATTTATTTCTGGAACTTCAATGTGTTTAAAACCACAGTAAAGCTACTCATCTTTTTTTCAAATGCTGTGGTTGTGAGGATTTCTCTTTGGCAAGACCTGTTGCTTCGATATATCTATTGGCTCATGAATTTTCCTTCTTTCAGCATGCAAGGTGGCTTGCCAATTTTGCAGCTTTCCTTCACTATTCAGTTTTTGGTGGGTTGGAGGTGTGTGTGGGGGATATTTTTGCACACAAGACAGTGCACACAACATAAATAAATGGTATTAGGTCTGTGTGTCAAGCAATTTATTTCACTTTCCTTTTTCGTGGAGTTGGCATAGATTAAAATTATTATTTTAAGACCAATAGCACTTGGAGCGAAGCAGAGATTGAATTGTATTTTTTGCTCCTTGTTTTAAGGCAAACATTTTAGTTGCCATTTTAGAACAATTACAACAATTACCTTATTGTAGATGTCTGCTTACCAGAATTTGAAATCTTGACTTCATCAAGACACACAAAAAAAGAACCTTGATAAATACAGTGGTACATTCAGCTACTTTGAAAGTCATCAGATTTGGTACTTGACATATTTTGATGTAAAAATTGTGTCTCAGTAGTTATCATTTGTTTGATATGCGACATGCAAGCTAGAATTTGTTGTTTTTGTCTGCCTCATGAATTTACCCTTCCAGGCAAAACAAAGGGTCACACGTTAGTCACGTGGTTTGCTTGATACTTGTTTTTAGTACTTGTAGCTCTTCCCAAAGTCAATTAATGACGAGTGCTGAAGTACCATGTAGATACAATCAAAGTACATGCACTTATTTGTCTGAAGCATAATAGCCATTTTCTGATAAAAGCGATGATATCTGGAAAATTAATCAGTTCTATCAAAAAGAGAGAAAAAGACTTGATTATTTTAAATTTGAGTCATGGAGGTTAAATTTAAATTTAAAATTTACATTTAGCTGCCAAATCAAATCAGAATCAAGCTGTTTCTCATTAAATTTTCATTTAATTTTCATTAAATGAAAATCCAACTCCCATAATAGAAACCAAGTACTTGTTGGATCTACAACCCTCAATAGGCCTTCCAAACCAATACGTAAAGAAAAAACAAGAGGAATCCTTTGTTTCAATTTCAGTTCTTAAATTCTTAGGACACCTTTGCTTGCCTCATTCTGGCTGCATCATTACACATAAGTACTATGTTATTCTAACAGGAATATATTTATACATGACAAAAAGTAAGTACCGTTTAAACATATGTTTCATAATAGTTTTGTAGCTATCTACAAAAAAAGAAGACAACATCAGAATAACAACAACAACACTGTCATTTTAGACACAATACTTCTCTCTAAGATATTCTGAATTAATACATTTCTAAGGACCTTAATCCTCACTGCAACTGTTCTGTGGCTTGGGACGAGAGAGATAAATGACCCAAGCATGCTTGTTTTGCAAAGTAATGTAACCACAGAGCAAATCCTGTTGCTGAGTCCATTAATCATCAGTACATCTCTCTTTGCATTTATGTTCCTTTCTACTCTTTGACATACACCATGCTTGGTTCAAAAAAAAAGCAACAGCTCCTTGTTGATTTATCAGAAATTGCTTCCTAAATCATAGGGATTTAAGAAAGCTACACATATTCAGTTAGAGAAGTTCCTTTTTAAACACACATTTCAAAGATAATCATGAAACAAACTTTCTTTTCATTTCATGAGAAAAGTGCTTAGGCAAAGCACAGAGAATTCAATTGATGCAAGGGATTTGGTAAGTTAGTAAAAACATTTGCTTCTCTCATTTCAAAAATACATTTTTTTAAAAAAAACTAGTACCATGCAAAATCTATAAGTATCTATAAGTATTCATCTTTAAAAGCAGCCTAGGAGTCTACACGAGATAAAATTCACTTCAATCAGGGCAAATGAATTCTTCCTCAAGAGGACAGCCATTTGTCTAAGGTGACCAGACGTCCCGCTTTTGGCGGGACACCCCCGCTTTTTAATGCATTTTCCCGCGTCCCGCACGCTTTTTTAAAAAGCACGCT